CCCCAAAACCCCAAAACCCCAAAACCCCTAAGTATTCAGTCTAGATTGAGGTTTTAGACATCATTAATTTATTTGGAACCTGATCCTTTTTCATTGACAAGAATCCTTAGTTGCTTTTCTTTGAAGTATTTTGAGATAGTCAACTTTCTGATATTCGAAACTCTATAAAACTCCCCGTCAATATTAATGTATGTTCTCTGGGGCTCTAACTTTTCTTTCTCTTCTTCTTTTTCATTCTTTCTGTATTCATCAAATTCAAAAATAAAAGGTCCACCAGATTGCATCAATCTTCTTGACTTCTGGAATATTAGATGAAACATTGATGAGAAGGTAGTAAATTCTAATTTCCCATCATTATAAGCAACTGCATCATTGAAAACTCTTGGGTCAATAGGTCTTCCAGATTTGTCAGTGATTCCACTTCTGTTTCTTCCTCCTCTCCAGATATTATTTCTACCTCCCATTAAGACAGCAATATTTGTACAATATAAAGAAACTGGGTTTCCTCGAATATAATAAGTGTTTTCCTCATCTCTGTTAGAACCTATTGTGAACTCTAATGTATTTAGCCTTTCTTGTCGAATAGGCTGCTTCTCTGAGTCACTTACATCAAAATCATCACTTTGCATTGATTTAAAAAATTCAGGGTCGCTTTGGCGTGAACTTTGCGAAAACTTAGTTAAAAGTTCTCTAAATCTTAAGGGTTCTTCGGTAAAAGCAGCATCAGAATACTCTTTTTAATCCTTCAAGGCCATATCTTATATTATTTCATCATCTGTTTCTTGTTCTTCTTTTCTCGAAGTTGAGACCAATTCGAGCATCAAGTCCAAAGGAGAAGCTGTGGCACATCAGTTTAGTAAAAGTTTTGGTTTCTTGAGAAACGAGTTCATTTCCATCAACACTTTCAATATCACCGTTTATCTCGTCTGTGTGTATATTTATTTCCCAAATATCAAATCCGGTTTCTTTTGCAGAGCAAAGAATATTTCACAGATAGTTAAGATCATTTTTCATCTTACGTGAGGGAGAAGCTCCCCATTTAAAAGCTCTCCCTAAATCATTGGCTGTGCCAAATGGAAACTGAGTAAAGATTATTGTTTCGAGGATGATTCCATAATCTTCCATTTCTTTGAGAATGTTCATAAATGATCCGTCTCCTCCAACAATAACTACTATAATCTTTTGAAGAGTTTTAGAGGCTTTCTCGTCATTAAGAATTTGAGATTTTTCATGTGTTGATTTATTTAAATTCATTCATAGAATCCTTCATCAAAATATTGATAATATTTAGCTCACATGTATCTCCGTTATTCAGCTCATATTGAAAGTGGTTAGCATCTAACTCTGTGTATGACCTCCCTTCTCTGCTTCCACTTCTTGGATTGACAAGTAGGTAGATTAGTACCTATAAAATATATAAATTCCAACTCCAAAGATTGGTATCTCTGTTGTTCTTACCTCTGATTCAGAGTCTCCTGAGATGGCTTTCTCCATTTTATCTAATTAGCGATATTTAAATAATATTGGTCTATCAATTAGCAAATTATAAATAGGGGTTTTGGGGTTTTGGGGTTTTGGGGTTTTGGGG